GTTTAATGCGTTCCAATAGGCTTTCCTTATCCGCACAGCGATGTTTTCGTATAGCAAAGGTTAATCTGGAACGGATTAACCTCGCTATACGGGGCACCACTGTAATCAGGGGGTGGGCGGGGTGGGGGGATCCAACACAATACCTTTCAGCATGAATTTGTGATATGGTCGTTTTAGAAATATCATCTTACTTTCCATACCTTCTGAAACGTGGGTGTTTTTCTCAACTCTCTCAGAAATTTCTAGAGTATCCAGATCAGATCGTTTTCGCTTGATGCTGTTTGGGTCCACTTTAGAGAGGATTCTGCCTTTTGCACGCAGTTTGTTTATTGCTGCTATCTAAAAACAACAAGAGCAGCACATTAGATATGTAAAACTCAGGACATTAATTAAAACTGGCATGAGCCAGCAAAGGTTCATGGGATCTGAAGACCAAACAACCCTTTTCTGCAAAATCAAGTCTGCCATTGGTCAAATAAAAATTATAGTGGTGAACACAGGACTTTTGAAAAGTGCAAAAGATAATCACGCACTTAAAGAGACACATGGATTCCAAAGACAACCTTATGTAGGTCACAAACTGCATGCTTTCAAGAGCCAAGATGACATCATGTGTCTTCTCACCTAACACAATCTTTTTCTTCTAACACTTGAGGGACAGAGAGAAATATTCTCTTCAGGGCTGCAGCAGCTGCTCCTAAGAATTTTATCAGTCTCATTTCTCAGATTGATAAATTCAGGTTTATTTGCTTGGGATTTTTAGTTTATCTGTCTGAGAACTGAGATTGCCACCACAAATTCTTCTTCTTCTTTCAAATGCCAGAAGAAACAATTCTGGGGTTTTGTTTAGGACTCTGCCAAATCAAAGAAATGTTGTTTAAATTCATACTACAAACCAAGATGCTAAGCCACAATCTGATTCTCTTTCCATATCCTGGTGTCTAGACAAACTGAAACATGATTTTCTGGGGTGAACATACAGTATCAGGAAATTGTGATTTAGAGGGCATGTGAAGGAAGTGGACAGCACACATGAACACACTGCTGATTCTTAATCTACTGTGTCATGGGTTATTATGCTGAAATCATTATGTCTGACTGGCCCTAAGAATACCAAATCAAACAACCAGGGGGAAGAAGTACAAAAATGAAATAATGGGTTAAAATCATATGAAGTAGGACAGATCATGCTAACTGAAACTGGCATAATTCAAAAAATTGCAGAATTCAGAAAGCGAAGTATTATTGCTATTATTTATACTGTCATAACAAAAGATCCTAATCCATGATTATTAAACAAAAATACTTCCTAGTTTACAATCTATAATGAGAGGCCAGGAGAAAAGGGACCTGCTTCAATCAGCACTTCTTCAATAATAGTCGCTCTAAGTGGCACAGTCTCTGCTCTACTTCATGCAGACTCTGAGACAGCAGGACAATATCTGCTGAGGTAGGAGTCCCTGCATTATTTGAATGCTTTTTCTGCCCCCCCTTGAGGAGGCAGAGGTAGTGTTTTCCCCCCTTTTCCTGACTGCCCCAAGTCAGAGAGGTCCTCAGATGTGGACAGTGCTGAGCTGCTTTCAGGCACGCTTCTGTACATAATATTACTTTCTTCACGGGGGAGAGAGAATCAAACACGCCTGTAACTGTCAGGGATTGGTCTCATAAAACGCAAGTGAGCAAATCTGGAGCGGGCAGATGGAGCTAATCTAACTTTAAATCAGCCTCTTCTACTGCAGAGGAAAAGGCATTTAAAATTGAATTTGTAGACATTTAAAAGTGCAGTTGAACTTGTATGTTTAAGATAATGTCCTGTTACTATGCCTTTTAATTCAGCTCTGAAGATCTTCCACTGTCCTCCATGTTATGTTAAGAAACTAGCATCTGTTTTTACAAGAGCTTGGATAATTTTAAACTCTGGCTGAAATCCTGTTGCTTTGTTACCCATGCAGAAAGCAAACAGAGTAACATTCAGTCACTTCTAGCTGACAATTTAACGAATCCCCACGGGGATTCTTGGGCTTGTACTCCAAGCCAGAATTTCAGTCTGTAACTTGGGATGTATCAGAATCCCTTGGCTATTATTGTCCAAACAATCTCTGTACAAAACTAACATAACTGGGGGGGCGAGTCTCTAAAGTTAAGCTGGAAGAAATCTACCTGCTGAAAATAGCCAGCCCTTGAGGGAATCTTGTATTACTATCGGCCAGTCATCACAAGGCCGCCTTGAAAGTCTGAAGATGCGTTACCTTTTTGGCTTCAGCCAAGCCATTCAGTTTGGGTGGTGGAAGAGGCGAGTCATCAAAAAAGAGAACATCTTCCCCTTCAGAGAACCCCATGCCAAGTCTAGGAGTTTGAGGGGTTGACAACTTTACAGCTTTAGGAAATTCAGCTCCTGGAGTTGGAGACCGCAGAGCAGATGGTTCCACGGAAGATGGTGTTACTGATGTGTTCTTGCCACTTGTGCTTTGAAGAAACCTTAAGCAGAAAGACACAATTATCATACAGGGGCTGGTGGAAAGCAGTCTATGTAGGTTCCTACTCTCTGCTCCAGCAATGGCAAGCAAACTGTGTCCCAGCCCCCCTCAGAAATTTATGTGCCCCTTCTGTGAGTAAACCAGTAATGGCAAACAAGTTCCTCAGAAATGCGCAGCTGCAGAAGTACTGGGTGTACTGTAATCACATTTTCAACCCTTACAGAGTGGACAGTATTGTCATGTCCCAGATACAGGGATGGGCAGACTTCAGGCTTATATTTTGGATTTTTCTATGAAACCAAGTTCTAAAAACTAATATGAGACATGCAGTGCAGGATCAGGTTGTGGAGTCAATTATTTATTACACCCCACCAATCCCTGGGGTTTATTCAAACCCATCATGCTCTTAAAGCACTGAGCAGAATAAAGGCCTGATTAAAAGAAAAAAATCAGTTCTACAATAGAGAAGTGTAACTCTGAGTCTAAGCAATTAGCACAAGGACAAATGTGACAAAAACTAGGGTTTTCTCGCTTGTCATTTTAGTTGTTCTCATTGTATTCCTGGGTGTCTGAAACTTTGGGCATCTAGTGCCCCCAGTTTCCACCCACAAGACCCCTCATTTTTTTTTCATGCAAAGTTGGGGAGTTTCATTCAGATTCGGTACCTGCATTCAGAGTTGCCATGTATCATGGGAAAGTAAAGTAGCTCCCATTAGCCCTGAATCTACATTTTAGGAAGCAGACTAGTAATTTCTTTGGTCTAATTTGAAATATAAAGAATGATTAACTCTGTCACATCATATAGTTTTCCTAAAGCAAGTAAAAATCTATTCCCCAAGATCTGGGACGAAGTTGAACAGACTAATAGGCTGAGACTCTGCTTTGTTTTATTTTACTGGAGTTTGTTTTATTGGTTCACAATATACTAAAATTAATTTGCCTTGGTATGACTTTTTCAGCCCCTGGATATTTAATATTGGTTTTGTAATAATTTTATACAACAGAATAGACAGACTAATAGGCTGAGACTCTGCTTTGCTTTATTTTACTGCAGTTTGTTTTATTGGTTCACAGTATACTAAAATCAATTTGCCTTGGTATGACTTTTTTCAGCCCCTGGATATTTAATACCGGTTTTGTAATAATTTTATACAACAGAATAAATGAATTTTGCACTGCTGCAGAGTGCCATGATATACCAAGCAATTAGAAAAACCACGGCGCTCCTACCTTCTCTGTATTTCTTCAGATCTCCTCTTCCTGGCTTCCAGCATCTGCTGCTTCTGCTGCTTCAGCAGGGCTGAAGCGGAGATGGACTGGAAAGCCGGGCTTGGCTTCCCACCAGATCCTGGTTAGGGAAAAGAGAAAGCTGCAGTTGAGGTAGATTTGGCCTGTAAAGATCAAACAAATCACATTTTCCCTTCAGACGTACCTGATGCACTGGCTTTGGCCAAGTGTTTATTTAGGTTTCGTGCTCCGAAAGATGGCACTGACAACAGTTCTTTAAACTCCTCTGAACACGGCAAACCTGAAACACAACACATGGTGTAACAGATACAGCCCTTTATGGCTAGTCTTTTACGGCCAGCAAGGCTACATCTAAGAGTAGCAAGCGTAATCTTGCTTGCGTCAAGGCCTACTAAAATCTCAAATGGAGGAAAAGCAGCTAATCAAAATTTCCAAGTACTGTATTAGCAAATATTGATAGCACAGTCAATGCGTAAAAATAGCCAACAGTGGTGCCCCGCTTGACGACGATCCCGGTAGACGACAAAATCGCTTGATGATGATAAAAATAGCCAACAGTATACAGTGGCGCCCCGCTTGACGATGAGGGTTTTTTTTGCAATCGCTATTGCGATAGCAAAACGATGGTTCCAATGGGTTTTTTTCGCATTACGTTGATTAGGAGCCTGCTTCACGAACCGTTTGTTCGCTAAACAATGATTTTTCCGGTTCCGCAAAATGGCTTCCCTCCCTTTGCAAAATGGCTGCTTTCCGGACCCCTGCTTCGGAAGACAGCGATTTTAAAGAGGTGATCAGCAGTTCTCTATGGGCCATCTTCACTGGATGATGAGGTATTTCCCCACTGGAATGCATTAACTGGTTTTCAATGCATTCCAATGGTTTTTTTTGTGTGTGACGATTTCACTTAACAGCAATTTTCCTGGAACGGATTATTGTCGTCAAGCGGGGAACCACTGTATTACTCGGTGAAAAACACCCTAAAATTAAAACTAAAACTAGGAACATCTGTGTTCTCTGAATACACCCTTTCTGCCTGTTGAAGGAACATCTCCTCACTCCTAATATTACCCCATTTACTTTGCAAGCAATAATCATTGTTTCTTCTTTCTTATGCACTATTAGTAATTAGGTTTATCTACTCCATGGATCTTTAATAAACCACAATTTAAACAGGTTTGCAAATCATGGATAGGAGGAGACATGTTGCCACAGCTTGCATCAGAAAATCATAGTGAAAGCTGGCAAAGGAATGGCTAAGGGAGAGGGGTTGTACCTCACTGAAGCTGGCTTCCCATTCAAAGAACATGGTTTATAGGGAGTTAATTGCTCCAAAATGGTACTAGGCATATTTGTGGACTGGAAACCTGTTTGTTTAGAGAGATGGCTGCACCTTTTCCGGACAGGAGCTGCATTTTGCTTAAAAGGATTAAAGTTTACAATGCAAGGGTGCTCACAGATCCAGTTCTTTCACTGGCAACCCACATGGCTCCCTTGGAGGACATTTTACCATATGAGAAATCTCTCGAACAAGTTGGCCATTTCTCACTAACTTACATCCAGGCCTTTCCCCTGCGCTTGAACTGGAAAGATCTACTGTTGCAGAGTGAAAAGAATATGCATCAGCTACACTAGCACATTACAGCAAAGGAGCCCAGAAGGAAAAAAAAAAAAAAAAAAAAAAACCCTTGAATTGGAAAGATCTACTGTTGCTGAGTGAAAAGAATTTGCATCAGCTACACCAGCACATTACAGCAAAGGAGCCCAGAAGGGGAAAAAAGAAGAAGAAGAGCACTACCCAGCCTTTGCTTTGTTTCCTGCAGAACTGCATCAACTCCTTTCACAACCAAATGGGACAGAGTGGTTTGGATCTTCTTCTTAGGAGCAGCCGCCGCAGCCCTGGAGAGAAAATGCAGAATACAACATATTGGTTTGATATAGGAGTCCACGTTCAGTATCACTTTTCCTAAAGGTTATACTGTAATTCATTTCCTTTCTCTAAGGGGAAGGAAAGATCCTGGGTTGAGGAATGGCACAGAGAACGTCCGTGTTGCCTGTTTACACCTTGCTGCCATAAGGAACTCTCCAAGTAGGCTGAAAATGTCCAGGTTCCCCAGAGAACTTTATACTGAAATGACAAGCCTGTCCCGGTTGTGATTATAAAAGGAAGTAAAAGATGTCAAGCCGTAAAAAGGCCACTTTAAGGGATTGCAAAGGGGCACCCTAGGCTCTGAGCTCCCTTCGTTCTTAACATCCACCCCCTCTCAAACCCACCTTTCCCACACAGCTCTCGCTTAATCCCACTCCACACCACTTTACCTCACGCTGCAACGTCGTACAGAGGAGCAGGGGCAGCCCAAGGTGTCCTTATCTCTCTGGACGACTCTTGCCCATTCCATCTTGGTCTCTGTACAATGCCTAACTTTAATCTGGTTGGGAAGGAGAAGGGAGCTATCTTTCCATAGCAGCCTTCTGAACCTAGTAACCCTGTAATATGTTAGACCAGCGTTCCCCAACCTTTTTCGGACCACGGACCGGTTGGGGGGGTGCTGGCTCCCTGCGCGGACCGGTTGGGGGGTAGGGGCATCCCCCACTCACGGGTGGGCTTCACGCTTACGGAGGGGTGTGTCGAGCTTGTGCGCATGCATGACACACCCCTTGCACTCGTGCGTGAAACACCCACCTCTTGGGCGAGCCCAGCCTTGAGCGGAGGGGAGGTGGCTTCACTATGGCGGCCAGCGGCCAGGAACAGGCTGGAGCCGGAGCGGAGGGCAACGACCTCGCTTCCTCCCAAGAACTGTGCCTCTCCCAGGGGGACCCTGTCTGTGCCCCTAGGCATAAAAGCTGCTCATTCATTCTGACATAGATGCCCATAATTCCCCTTACAGATGGGCTTGCACAAATGGGAGGGGGGAGCCCTATTAGTCCCTGTAGGGATAGAACCTGGCCTGGCTGCCGTATTCCTCTATGTAGGGGCGTCTATAGCGGGATGGTGGGAAACCTCAATTCTCCGCCTCAAACGCAGAGCTCCGCCAGAGCGACAATGGGGTGGGCGAGGGAGGCGAAGCCAGTGTGTGTGTTGGGAAATGGGGAAGCGGGTGGCGCCTCGGGCACTGACCTCCATGGGCTCGGAGGACTCCTCTTCTTCCTGCTTTAAATCTTCATCTGGGCTGAAGCTGAGCTCACCCAGACCTTCCCTGTCCAGTTCCTGTGGGGGCTGCTTGTCATAGTGAGAAGGTGATGGAGGGCGAGGTGGACCAGGATCACGCCAGCTCCAGGCTTGGCTCGCCAAGGCCACCCCAGGCCACGCTCTTCAGGGACTGCATGGCAAGGAGGGCTGGGAAGGAGCCCGCCGAGGGTCCCCGCACTGCCTCCCCTCCCTGGGGGCTTTCTTCCCACCCAGAAGTGACTTGCCTGCTCCCTCAGGGGTAAAGCCAGTCCCTGAGTACACCGCACTGCCCAGCAACAAGGGAGGGCACGCCGCCGGGCATGCTGGGAGATGGAGTCTGCATGCCTCGCTGCGGCCCATGGGGCACGACGGGAACTATAGTTTGCCCATTCAGACTCTCCCCCCCCCCAGGTCGCTGCCCTCCACTCTGGCTCCAGCCTGCTTCTGGCTGCTGGCCAAGGCTCCCGGCCCGGGCTTTGCCAGGATCAGTAGGACGACCACCAGCTGCCCCACCTTGATCAAAGAGATATGCCGGAGGCAACAGCAGTCATGAGCCTGGACTCCCCACCTTCCCT